ACTACAGTCAAAATGGATAAACAATTTATTTTATTTTATTTTATTTATGTATTTATTTTTTAATTTTAGGGAAGGGTCTACAGGGTGTTCAGGGTTTCACTACTAGATTGGACTCATAGTGACCCGACTGTTTACAGCCTCCCAAGAGCTGGGATTACAGGTGCATGCCACCATGTCCAGTCTCAATGGCTGTCCCAGTGTGCCCTGGGGGTCAGGCAGCATGGCAGGCCCAGGGATTGAACCCCTGACTCCTGTGCATGCTTTCAGGTGCTTTAACCTGCTGAGCTATTTGGCCAGCCTTAACAATTTAAATATTAAAACAGAAACTCTTAATCTTTGGGAGAAGAAAGTAGGTGGAAGTCTTGAAGACATAGGGATAGGAAGAGAGCTCATGAACAAAATCAAACTGCCCAGAACATACTTCAAAGAACCAACAGCTAGGATTTAATCTTTTGAACAAGTTTCTGCACACCAAAAGAAATCACCAACAGAAACCCATGGATTGGGAAAAAATTTTTAGCTGACTGTCCCTCAGACAAAGGACTTCTAGCAACATATAGAATTTAAAAACCAAGGCACTCCAAATTCAAAGACCCAATAAAAAATGGGCATCTGAGATGAGTACACACTTCACAAATGAAGAAATACAAATAGCAAGTAAATATATGAAAAAGCCCTGTACTAAATACATTAAAAAAGTTATTGATCATTTGAGAAATATAAATCAAAACAACACTGAGATTCCACCTTATCTCAGAAAGAATGATTATCATCAGGAAGTCAACCAGTCACAAATGCTAAAGGGACTGTGGGGAAAAAGGAACCCTTCTCCACTGTTGGTGAGAGTGTAGGCTGGTCCAGCCACTATGGATATCAGTGTGGAGATTCCTCAAAAGCTAGGGTTGGAGGTCCCATTCAACCCAGCTATTTTCCTCCGGGGCACTTTTCCAGAACTAAAAACATCATGCCACTGAGATTTATGCGCACCCATGTTTATAACAGTGCAACTTGTCATATCGGAGTCTTGGAAACAACCTAAATGTTCGTCAACTGAGGAATGAATAAAAGAGATACGGTATTTTTACACAGTGGAGTATTTCTCAGCTATAAGATAGATAAACTGGAGGCTTTTATAGAGCTCATACTAGACATCACACTCATAAGTGAAATAAATCAGACCTGACTGTGCAAGCATCATGTTGTTTAACTAGTGTAACAACCTGAAAAAGTAAATAAAACCTGAAAGGTACAATAGATACTGTGAGAGCAAAAAAATTTGTTTAGAGGGAAGAAACAAGGAAAAGGACAAAAGAAAGAAAGAAGGAAGGGAAAAGGATATATTTATGTATAAATACAGGATAGCTTGGATAATTGTACTGCTGATTTCTGCTGGTCTATTGAAAGGAACAGCTAATGTTTACATTTTTTCTTCTGTTTTTTATTTCTTATAACTTTTTTTCCATAATTTTACTGAGAAATAGCAACGAGACAGTTTCAAATCAAATAGGTAGGACAGTTCCAACACACTACATACTGCCTTCCTAGTGGTTATTTGTTGTACAAGATGCAGACATGATATCCTATTTACAAACACAAATTAGAACAAATCCCTCTATTTTTTGAATTAAAATAATGTAGCTATATATCTATCCTAACCATTTTGAATACACAGATACAAAATGGTCATTCATCTATATCCCCTTTTTTGTTTAGTTCCATCACTTAAATATTATAGGTGTGTGAACTCAGCAAAATATTCTAAAAGAGTCCAGTAGTGCATAATAGTGCCGGGTCTTCCACTTAACTGGCAATGTCAGAAGTTGTTGACCTGAGCCCCCTACAGCTCAACATAACAACATGGCTTTATTTCTTGTACTTCGCTTTTATACTTTTCTACTGGATGGTTAAGACCAAGATAAAGCACAACCTATGTAACAAGAATTGTAGCTTTTGGATCTGATAAGGTCAGTCAAATCCCCTCAAGATTTATCCTGAGACCCTGTGCCTCAGATTGTAGATCCCTTGTCAGTGTCAGCCATGTGGATAAGTCATGGCCATTGCTTGGCCAATGTGATCTCTGTGAAAGCCTGAGAGAATGTTTTCTCTCCATGTGACTCTCCTTAGGCACACTCTACATCATCGATCACTTTCCTCTTTGGCCCCATAATCTCCTTGATCAGAAAATTTGGGACACAACCAAGGTACATGATATTACAGTACAGGTTCTCATATGTCCTGAGTCTTAATTGACCTTGGAAGGATAGGGCCAAAATGTTGGTTTTCCTTGTGGCCCTCCTTTTTCTCTAATTTTGGTCTGCAAACTTAGGTTGTTAACCCTCCAGAAGAGAAGCTTATTGTTATTACCAAATAACCTAGGCTGTTGAGCTTAACCTCATTATCTATCTGAATATCAAACATCTTAGGCATAACATGTAGCAGGTATTTTTCATATAATATTGATATATTAAGCTTTAGGTCCCTACAGAATATGACAAAAAATTAGAAAATTAAAATGTATTTAAAAAATAGAAATAAAGAATTATATATGTTTACACATAAGTCCAGAAATCTAGCCATATACAACATTGTTGCAGGACAGTCCCACAACACTCCTTTTCCTGTCTCCTGCCTTCATTCACCACCCTCTTCCTTTTTAAACAATCAGCAAGGCAGCAACTGGCATGTCATGACAAGCAGCATGTATTCAGAAGACCAGAATGACAGGCACTCCAAGCATGAACCTACTATTAGAAATTGCCATCTTCAGTGCAGTTGCTTAGTTCACAGGTGTCGGTATATATAGTTAGTCAGGATGAGAATCCTTCCAGTTAACTGCTAGATTTGTAGATCTTCTGAAGATTCTCAGGATCATTGCCTTACCTATCTTCTGCATATTTTATAACTTTTAAAAACCAAATTTGCATGCTTATATCTGGTAATCTAAACAACTAATTTGAAGACATTATGCAATATAACAACCATTGTTGAATACCTATTATTTTGCTTAGTGAATTCTGTATTGTTTCTAATTTATTTTTTACTATTTTTATTCTCTTGAAAAAAATAAAAATAATAAAAAAGGAAATGGGCAATCCGAATGAATAGACACTTCTCACAGGGAGATTGAGAAGGATTTTTTTTGGGGGGAGGTGCTGACTCAGGTTGCTTTAGGGGTGGGTCTGGTAAGGCTTGAGGAGCTGGGGATCGAATGGTGGTCCCTTGCACCTGAATGGGTTTGTCCAAGCAGGCGCTTTAAGAACTGAGCTAAACCACAGTTCCCTGGGAGATTGAGGTTTTATAAAATCTAAGTTAGAACATTTCACTTTTGTCCTCAGAATCATTTAGTGGTTCAGTAAAGCCTGAACTATCATTGATCGCAAAGCCCGCCTGACTAGAATCCTTCCCACATTCCCAGTCCCATCTTCTCTTTCCCATGGGCTCCTCCACTGTTCTAACTTGATTGCTTTCCTTTCAGCTCCTCTAGAAGGCACCCAGTGACATGCTCAATGAAATACTCAATGCTTGTTTATTTCTACTGTCTCAGCAACAGTGCCACTTTGTCAAGAGAGACCAACTAAGATCCTCTCTGCTACCTTCCCTGCAGCACTGCAGTGGTCTAAGCACATTGCTTAATGATTATCTCCTCAACTTGAGCAGACAGTCTCAACTTTGGGGCTTGGTATTATGATTCTCTAAGATTGTGTCATAGGGGTGCCTGGATGTCAATCTCCCATCCACAAGGAAATTTTGGGGTACCTTTCATAGCCCAGCCCCAAGACTGGCCATCCCCAGCCTCTGGAATCCTCTTTTATTTACCACTATGTGCCACAGACATAGGAGTACTTTCTTTGATAGCCTTGTTTTGAAAACAAGTACACCACATACTAGCTTCAAGCACTGTACTCTTGCCAGTGTTCTTAACATGAACCCAAGGGTCAGACATGTATAAGGTTCAAGAAATAGTTCTTTGAAGAATGGAAGGTTTTGTGCTGGTGCAGAAGATGGTAGAATGGATAAGGGTATTGGTGATGATAAGAAAAAACATGGTAATGACACTGGTACCGGTGATGGTGGTAGAGGTGGTGATGGGTGGTGGTGATGACGGTGATGGTGGTGATGGTAGTGGTGATGGTAGTGATGGTAGTTATGTTGGTGAAGAAAGACTTTCCAGTGGACAGGATAGACTCAGAGTTCCTGACCTAGGCCATACTTTAAGAACTTTTACAAAAAGAATCTGCCTTTCCCCCCCTTGGTGGCCAGCCCAGAGGAATTACTGGAAGGTGGATTTTGGAAGCAAGGTGATTGGAAGTGGAGGGAGGGCGCTATAGCAGAGTATCTGCAAACCCTGGCTGGGCTATGAGTTCCTCGGCCTCCTTTTTATTCCCAGAGGTGGCGGGAGGACCGCCTTTCGAGCGGGCACCCTGACCCCTGGCGCCTGCTGGGCACCGCCCTTCCTTCATGCTGCCTGCGCGCTCAGAGCTCTGTCCTCGTCCACTGCTAGGACGCGGCGCCCGGGAGGGAGCAAGACCTGTGTGTGTGGGGGGAGGCGGGGGGACGGGCTAGAAAAGACCTGGAGAGACGCAGCGGTGAGCGGAGCGCAGCGGGGCTGGGGTGGAGAGGGTGAGACAGCTGTCGGGGGAGAGAGACGCAGGGAAGTGGAAGGAGGAGGGCTTAGGGGACAGTGCAGAGTTTGGGCGAGCAGGTACGAGTGGGCTAAGCGCGGGAGGGAGGAGGAGGGTTAGGTTACAGGTGGGGAGGATCTAAAGGCGGAGACCCCACGGTGCGCAGGTGAGAGGGTGCAGGGCCCGGGGTCTGGAGAGGAGCCTGTGCGGTTCGCAGGTGACTGTGTGAGCGTGCAGCCAGGGCGGGCGGTCCAAAGGCCGGGGTGCCAGTCGGAGATCCTGGCGAACCTGGGAGGAACAGGGATAGGCAGTTGTCGGTGGGGCGCGGGCAGACGCAGGGGGCAACAGCACCCAGAGGCTTGGGGTCCCGGCGCAGCGATGCGGGTGCACCTGGGGGCGCTGGCCGGTGTGGCTGCGCTGACTGGGGCGCTCAGCTTCGCGCTCCTGGCCGCCGCCATCGGCACGGACTTCTGGTACATCATCGACACCGAGCGGCTGGAAAGCAGCGGGCCCGTGGCGATGGATCGGCTGGGGGCCGCCAACCGCAGCCGGCCTGAGTCTCTGAGTTCCCACTCTGGCCTCTGGCGGACTTGCAGAGGTAAAGGCACACGTGGGAACAGGGGAAGGCAGGCAGTGGCTACAAACGTCCCTTGCACGGTGTCCAGCTCACCTGTTGCTTGGTATGCACACCTCCCCCAAGTCCCAAGTTCTAGTGCAATGTTTAGGGGCTCGGGGTGGGTTTGGCCGAGTGCTGGGGCTGCGAAAGCTGTTCTGGAGGTGCCCTGCTCTGCTCTCATCTATGCTAGCGCTTCCCTTGCCGTAGAGGAGGGTGGGCATGAGGACCAAACCTCGGGCTGGATGGGGTTGGAAACCCAGGCCCTAGCCCACTGATTCTTCATTCCATCCAGTGAGGAGCCCGTGCACCCCGCTGATGAACCCTTTCTGGCAAGAGAATGTGACAGTCAGCGACTCAAACCGACAACTTCTCAGTGAGTCTGGGGAGGGCAGGTGGAGGGAGGAACTGCCCCCCCCATGGGGGTTGGGGGAAAGCTCTGACGGCAGGGGGTGAGGAAGGAATAGGGCTAAATGCAGAGGACAAGGACTCTCTTGCTCCACCTCTAATTGTGGTTTAGATTCATTCAACCAGCCCTTACGGCTTGCTATGTGCCAGATTGGGGACTGAGACCATGGCTTCAAGATGCTCACGGACTTGCTGGGGAGAGCGCTCGGCCAGCATGCAGCTGGACTTGAGCGTGGGCAGCGGCAGGCAGAAGCACAGGGATCCAGGAGCTGCGGGTAACGGGGGGGGGTCTTATTTCTCCGACTCTAGGTCAGCCAGGCAGGAATAAGAATGCAACAAGTTTTGGGGGGCTGGTTCAAGACGGGCAGTTAGCAGCAGAGTCCCTTGCTCCAGGGGCCATCACATCTGACTTACTGGTCATTGTCTCCCCAGCGCCCCTCACAATGACTGGCACTAGGTAAAAGTGTAGGACTGAATGTGAGAAAGGAAACAGGCTGAATGAACACTTGTGGAGGAGGGAAATTGATAGTTCTGTTCACTGAAGTTTGCAACTGGCCAGACATGGAGCTCTGGGCATCTTGCCTGTGTTTTCATTGGATCCCCACGTCCTCCTTCTGAAGGTATTAGCTCTGTTTTTATATTCACTTTTCTAATGAGCAAACGGAGGCCCAGCGGTGGACCATGGAAAAGGTGCGGAGGGGACCGATCTCCGTAGACCTTGAAACTTGTGGTTCCTAAGGTAGATCACTGAGGCTTAGAGACTGGAAGGACGACAAGCCCCGAATGTGGCCCACATGGCCTGATGGGTCCCTCTCTGGCTCTTTTTTTTTTTTTTAAGTGTTTTTAAAAAAAATAATTTTATTGATAAACAAATATCATGAGACAGTTTCACAACCAATTACCAGCGCATTTACAGTAGTTAATACATTGCATATTGTTGTCTCAGTGGTTATGCATTATACAAGATGCAGACATGATATCTCAAACATTATTATAACAGACCTCTCTATTGAATTAGGAGAGTAGCGCTGTATATCTATCCTATCTATTTTGAGTACACGGATACAAAAGAGTCGTTCATTTCTATCCCACTTTTTTCGTTAGTTTTGTCAGAGAAGGGCATTCCATTGTCATTTAAATATTGTAGGTGCTTGAATTCAGCAGAATCTCCCAATAGAGTCCAGTAGTCCATAATAGTAGTGGGTTTTCCATAAGACTGGCAATGACCAGAGTTTTGCACTTTCTTCTCTGGCTATGCTTAGCTGGACCCCTGCCTAAGGTCCAAAAGTTCTTCCTGCCACGGGAGTTGGTGAGTGCTGTTCCCTCTGCCTGGGGTCTCACTGTTCCCCTTTCACTAACTTGACTTGGTTAACTCCTATTTGGGGTGTAGGGCCTGTGGCTTTTTTTGTGGGGGGTATGTTAAAATCTGGCTCCATCATTAGACTGTGAGCCCTATCAAGACAGGGATCATCAGGCCTGTGTAAGCCTGCTAAGCCCGGCATAAGATTGGTCATGAAGCAAAATTTACTGGAAAATGATGCAAGTGAATGTAGGCAATATAGTATAGCAAATAATACGTGTTATATAACAAATGTGTCTATTTAAATGAATGGATCAATGTATGTATAGGTGGATAGATATCTAAAGTCAAATTCTGTGCTGGGAAATATTTAACAACTGGTTCCCTGGGAGGGAGAAAAACCTCCCAATCTGTAGCATTTGTTAAGTTCTGTGATGTAAATACTTTTATTGTGGCCAACTGCTAGCTGCCCATAGGATAGCGTCTGGCTCACAAGATTCCTAGAATTTTAACTGGTTCCTGTGAGCTCATCTGAGTCAGACCAATGCCCCACACTGTATATCTCACTGGACACCTGGATAGGAGACATGCCCTGGACTTCTGGACAGTGTGGGAAGTTGAGGAGAGAAGAAAGTATCATACACTCTGTCCTCGACACCAGCTGCACGGGGAGGAACTTTGGGTGTTCTTAGAGCATTGTTTTAAATATTATCAACAATTCCTGAGTTTGGAGTCAAGGAAATGAGGGTCCAGTCCCAGCTCAGACCCTTCCAGGGGCCCTGGGTGGTCCTTAAGCACTCAGCCCCATTGTCTACATTGATTAAAATGAGACGTCAAAACCAGGAGGGATATGATCAGGATTTCATGAAGTGGAATGCAAATGGATGAAAAAACAAGAACCTGACCTAGGACCTCACACTGTGCCTGAGTTGCTGAGGGGGCTCCTTGTTGTGTGAAGCAGTGGAGGTGGACACAATGTACGTGTGTGATAAGGTCCAACTCTGTCCTGTACCGTGCCTTCTGGCCTCTTGCTAGCTATAGTCTTACGCCAACCCTTTGCCAGGTTGGGTGCTGGCATTCAGTTACCTTAGGTTTATTTATTTATTTATTTATTTTTAAACATTTATTTATTTGTGTGTGTGTGTGTGTGTGGCCAGCTCAGCCCACCAGGGGGCGGGGCTGGCTGGCATGTGGTGCTGGGGGATCGAACCGTGGTCCCTGTGCTTTGGCCAAGCTTGCTCTAAGTAGGTGCTTTAGACCACTGAGCCATCTCACCAGCCCTACCTTAGGTTTAAATTGAGTGGCTTAACTGTGGTTGGCTTCCTTTTGAAACTTGTCAGTGCAGCAAGTATTTGGAGAAAGAGAAGTCGCATCCAGAAGGTACTCATCTGTTCAGTCTCAGGCATAGACCTAACCTCCGATTCACGGCCAACTAGGTGTGGGGCTCTGGACATTTCCTACACCTCTCTGAGTTTTAGCTCCTTCATGGGCAAAATGACAAAGTAACTGTTATTCCTCCTTCTAAGGCTATAGCAGGGACAAAGCTTGAGAGCATCTCTGAAGAGACTAGCACAGGCTTGGCCTCCATTTATGACTATGAATGGTAGCTGCTCTTGTTACGGCTATGTTGTCCAGGAAAGAGGGCAAGCTGCCCCTTCGGACTGCATGCTTATTGCAAGGCACCCCCAGAGAGCCTTTTTCTCAGAACCTCTTTTTCCCTCAAAATGAATTTGAGTTTGTTCCAAGCTCTTTTGTTATGTAAAGGCATTTCATTCCTTTAAAGATCAGGGACCAAAAGGAGCAGCCAGCTGACCAGCAGTACTGTTCTCTGACTCAGCCTCCTGGACAAATCCTGGGGAAGGGACATGGGCAGAAATCTTGTGTTTTCCTCCAGGAAAACATGCAGATCACGTCAGCACCCAGCGTGCTGTGAACACCTGGCAGAGCAGGGGCTGCGGTGCAAGCCCATCCGCGGCATCTGCTCCCTTCTGATCACCGCCACCTGGGGGCGTGAGGTTGGGTGGAGGCCTCCCGTTCAGGCACAGGTAGGCGCACCTGCGTGCTCACCTGTTTCAGCAGGCAGCAGAGAGAGCTTTTCCATGGCATAGTTTCCTTCCCCTTTCGTGGGTGTTTGGTGTCCCAGATCAGCTCTGGGAAAGCATGAGATTTGTTCCTTGGCTGAGGACCAGAATAATTTTTTTTTGTGGCATAGAGGGCATCACGCTTGGCACAGTGTAGGTCAAGGACCAACCAGGCTATTAGAGTCAGTTGGGAACCTTTTGATGACAAATGACAAACTCAAACTATACTGGTTTGAGAAAGAAGAGGAATTGCTGGCCCATGTTCCTGCTGGGACTCGTCGAGCCCAGCTCTGTTTATTTCTGCCCGCTCTGGGGCTCTGCTTTCTTCCACGTAGGTCCTAGTTTCCACCGAGTCCTTTCCACCTCAGCAGCTCTCACAGGAAGAGTCCCTCTGTCTTTCTGCAGTCCCCTAAACTTCCAGCCAGGCCATTCATTGGACCGGACTGGGCCCTGCACCCAGAGCAGAGCCAATCATTATGGCCAAGGGGTGCAAAGCTTTGATTTGCCAGGCTGTGGTTCTTATCCACTTGTACCAAGGGGCAAAGACGGAGCCAGCCCCCATCTTGGATGAAGCATGGGAAGTGGGGGCCCGTAGCTACCTTTAACTGTGTGAGTTCTTATGAGTCACCTATATCTGTAAATAGGGTTGTTCTGGGGTGAAGTGAGATGATATACGCAAGGTTCCCAGGCAGCTCACTTAATGCCTCCTTTTCCTACTTGGAGTGATGCCTGAGTCTCAAGGTTCTCATCTGTAACGAGAGCTGAGACTTGCAGATCTATCAGAGAAATTTATTTACTTTGTACATATTTCACCCCCAGCCCTGGGTCTGCTGTCTGGCACAGAAGACGATGAGACAGGTGCTGTGTGCCAGACGCCGCACTGAGTTCTTTGCCTGTATCAGCTCATTTAATCTTCGCAGCAGTTCCCGAGGCAGATACTGCTCTTACCACCCTCAACTTTACAGGCAAGGAAACAGAGGCACAGAAAGATGAGGCAAGGCACTCAAGTTTGTAAAGCAGCGGGCAGATCCAAGACTTGAACCCTAGAAGTTTGCTTCTACCCTGTTGGAATGATGCTCCACGGAGGACAATACTAGTCTAATGTGTATGACCACAGGCCCTGGTAGCCCTGAGGATGAGCTCCCGGGTGTGCTGGGTGGTTTGGTGCGTTGCCGCTCTCCCCTCCCTCCTTTGGGCAGAAGCCTGCATCACATGAGGAATTGCAGGCAAGGAGCTGGAAGGCAACACTGAGCTTGGGGTGCTCCTGAGGCAGCAGAAAGGCTCTGCTCCTGGAGCAGGGCAGCAGTTGCTCCTTGGCTGCTCCCCCTTTCTAGGCTCTTCCTCTGCTAAGAGTTCACGAGGTCAATCAGGCTGGTTAGACAAGGACGTTAGACCCAGAAGAGTGAAATGCTTGGTCCAGCATGGCCTACCAGCAGCAGGAGCAGGATACTGCACTGTGGACTGAGAGCCCATGGCCTGGCCCGCCTGGCCGCTGAGGAGGTGAGGCCCGAAACTCCGCAAGACTGGATTTCCATCTTTCTGGGTGCTGCTCTGCGGCAGCAGTGTGGAAAATTGAAACCAGCCCTC